TTTTTTTGGTTTTTCGAGACAGGGTTTCTCTGTGGCTTTGGAACCTGTCCTGGAACTAGCTCTGTAGACCAGGCTGGTCTCAAACTCACAGAGATCCGCCTGCCTCTGCCTCCCGAGTTCTGGGATTAAAGGCGTGCGTCACTTTTCTTTTAACAGGATTCCACTTCGCTAAGTTAGGACTCAATATACTGTCAAGTTTGACCTTGAACTTTCAATGTTTTTAAGCTAAAAAAAAAAAAAGAATCTTTTGTAAAGATAGACTCAACTCAGCCAGAAGGTGGCAGAAGGTGGCAGCTTACCCCCGAGTCAAGTCACTATTGCATCAGTAGACACAAGTTGCCTGACATTGAACTTCTGTTCTTTCTGTTTCCACCTCCAGGAGGGTTTAAGAGATGTCTGGTTTATAACCCGATGTTTCATGCACGCTAGGCAAACACTGGCGACTGAATTATATCCCCAGTCCCATGCAGAACCTCCGTGACTTCCCACTGTATCACACTGGACGTTGGGTAGAGTATTAGGAGCAGAAAGGTTCTGGACTGGATAGATGAACACCCCAGTATGTTTCTGTCCCCAACCAGTGACGTCCAAGCCAAGATTGTGGCTTCCTACCTGGTTATGTCTTGAAGTCTCAGTTCCCCATCACTCTCCTCTGACTCCTTTAGCCTACTGACCTCACTTCGTACAAGAACCCTTTGAAGGGATTCGAGTTGATTATGAGAATTTATGCTAAGTCTCATACTAGGTGGGCTCTGATTCCCTGCCGATAAAACGGGATGACCAGAATCTTTGTTGGGTTGGCTTATAAAAGGATTGGCTTCTATGGCCCCCAATATTCTAAAAGGATCAGAACAGGGGAAGAAGGTCTGAGGTCAGATGTGAAGGGTTCAGTCCCCTGCAGCCCAGGATAGCAGAGATGGGAAGACGGTGCTGTCGGGGAGTCCTTGGGGGAGGTCAGCCCATTCATCTCTCCAGAAACTGCCAAGAAAAGGTACCAGGATCCTGCCAGAGGCTGTGTTTGGTTAGGCCTCATTCTTCCTAGAGGTTGAGTGAAAGCCAGGGGATATTGAAGTTCTTCTTCCTCTTCCTTTCTTCCTTTCTTTCTTCCTTCCTTCCTTGCTTTCATTTTTTCCTTCCTTCCTCCCTCCCTCGCTCCCTCCCTTTCTCTGTGTGTGTGTGTGTGTGTGTGTGTGCGTGTCTGTGTATGTGTGTGCGCGTGTGCAGGTACATTTATGTGTGTGTGCATTTAGAGGCCAGATATCAATTTTGAGTGTCATTATTCAGGAGTCAGCAACCCTCTTTTATTTTTATTTTTTAGAATTAATATATTTTAAATTACATTTATTGGTGTGTGTGTATGTGTGTGTGTACACTCACTCATACCGAGGACAACCTGAAGAGGCTGGTTTTCGCTTTCTACCATGTGAGTCCCAGGAATTGAACTGTGGTCATTAGGTTTGGTGGCAAGCTTCTTTACCCACTGAGCTATTTTAAGGATCCAGGGCTAGTCATTCAAGCTAGGCTGACTCACTAGCAAGCCCCAGGGATTGCTCTGCCTCTGTCTTCCCGGATCTGGGCGTAGAAGCACAGGCCACCATCTCTGGCTTTCTAATGTGCTTTCTGGGGCTTGAACTC